TATGTGAAAAGGAACAACCAGGGAGCTATTAGAAATTATAGGAGGACAAATGTATTTCCATGAGGTTTGAAAAAGCTTCTCTAAAGAACTGTTTTGAGACTTAAGGACATAAAAGTTGGCCAAGGAGGAGTGAAAGAAGCAGTCCAGGCAGCAAGAATAACCAGTGCAAAGGCCCTGAGGCCACAGGACTTGGTGCTTTCCAGGAATCAGAGGCCGGAATGGCCAGAGAGAGTGAGCAAGAGGCAGAGTGGCATGATGTGAGTTAGGAGAGATGAGGAGGGAAGTGTAGCTTGGGCCGCATCTCAGAAGCCTAATGGAAGAATGGGAACAAACTTGGACCTGAAGAATGACAAGCTAAGGCTGTAGAAACAGGAAGATGACTGTGTTTAGGTCTGGAGTAGCTAACGGAAATGAGGGAGAGAAGCAGATGAATCAGAGACGTATTTTAGAGGCAGATTACCTCCCTTCTCTGGTTTCATCCTCAAGCTGATAACCAGGTAATGGTGGTCATGTTCAAGAAGTCAGTGCTAACATGTGGTCGACTTTTATGCCAGTTTGCAAGAGGCCAGAGAGAAGCCTGCATTTCTGAAGCAGCAGCCACAATTATAGGAGTAAAAAGGTGGCTGGATTGAACACCGATGCACCCTTGCCAGGAGTTAGGGATGTTGGCAACCCCAGATCATGCATCTTTCGGGCTTTTAACTAGATCATCTCAGAACTAGTCATAAAATTACCAGTATCTCCATCCACAGTAGAGCATAGCCAGTATACACATGTCCTACTTAAAATCAGCAGTGGCATTTGGCCTGACTGGGAGGAGAGAGCTGGAATCAGTTGGCCTTCCCGCAGAGATCCCATGAGACAATGAAGCCATTGTGTCCTCATTCACATCCCACTGACACAAGAGAGGGCATGCCAGTGGGGGAATTCATTCATTGTCTGGTTTATTGCCAGTTCTTGAGCTCTCACACTGTTACAAAGTCCACCAGGTATTGCATACTTTTTAACTAATGCTTATTTGATCTTATCTATTGATTAATCAGATTGTTTAAAATTAAGTGCTACCAGTCAAATTCTTTTCTCGGGAGCTTAATATTTACAGACCTGTGAGACCAGCATGTTGTCATAGGATGTCTGGCTTTAGTGTGGCTACAGGAGGGTACAGGTTTCTGGATGAACTTCAGTTCAAACTCCAGCTTTTCGGGTAATTAGCTCTATGATCTTGGGCATGTTGCCAAAACTACCTGAGCTTCATTTCTCTTGTCTGTAGCTCATAAGAGCACCTACTTCCCAGGGTCATGCAAATGGATGGAGTTAATCTGTGTGAAACAGGTAGAACAGGACCGGGAATATAGCAAGTGATCACTAAATGGTGGCTCATACCATTTAAGGTTTGGACCCACTCCAGGTACATATCAGTACTACTTAAGCTGTGTTCTCCAATAAGCCACACATGGCTGCTGAGCACTGAAATGTGGCTAGTCTGAAATGAAATGTGCTTTAAACACATAAAGTATATATTGAATTTTGAAGACATAGTATAACAAATAAAATTAAAATTTCATTAACTACTTTTTATGTTGATTACATGTTGAAATGATATTTTAGATATACCAGGCTAAATCAGACATAGAACTAACATTCATTTTACCTGTTTCTTTTTATTGATGTGGCCACTAGAAAAAGTTTTAATTGCATAGATAACTCGCATTTATATTTCTTTTGACAGTGCTGGTTGAAAGGTCTGATTTAAGAAGCAGGAATGAGTAAGAAATGGGAAAAGCAGGGATTTTGCAATCAGAACGTTTTGGATGTTATCTGGGTAGCATCTCTCTCTTATGGCACTAGGGAAGTTTTAGCAACTGTGCCTCCTCTTTCTCATCTATAAAATGGGAGCAAGATTCCCTATCACAAAAGAGTTGTTTTGAGGCTTAAATTAGATCGTGTATGGGAAGTGCTTAGCTTAGTCATAGGCACAAAATAGGTGCTCAGATGAAAAAGAAGGTTCTAGGTTTTGTCACATGCACTGGGGGTGTTTAGTATTCAGCAGTGGGCTGAGCAGATCCTGAAGATGAATTAATAACAATAATTCATTTGTTTAACAAGGCGACTTTGGCTTGCTGTTTTCATCTCTATCGCCACATCTGACCTCCAGAATGACTCTAGGAGGTATTGTCAGCCCCTTTTATAGAGCTGGGGAGACTGAGGCACAAGAGACCATCAAGATCTGAGCAGGAACTAGAACCAACCCTATTGTGGTCTCTTAAAACTTGTCTGCCTCCATGGTGTGTTTCAGTGTTTGCTCTACCCCCTAGTTAGAGATGGCTTCTGCAGTCCTGCCCTGGACAAGAAAGAAGACCAACACCCAGTACAACCCAGCAGCCCCAGGGCCAACTTTGCCTGATCATGTTGTGCTGTATATTATCTAGGGAGACTAGGAAGGCAAGAAAGGCAGTTCTGGGCCTCTTGTGTTCCCCAGCCTGGTGGAGAGCTAGTATTGACACTTGTGATGGAAAAGAGGCAACTTACAAAGCCATGTTCCCTGAATGCTTCAGTACCTATTATGTTTCAATCCAACTTGATAACCAAGTGAGGAGCTACTAGGGACACAGGAGACACTATGCCATACAAGATCCTTTGCAACTTGCTTTATTTAATACATTAAACACTTTCTCCTGTCAGTACATAAAGCGCTATCTAAATCTTTTTATTGAATGAATGTTATTCTGTATTATGGATGGAACAAAATGTTTTTAGCCAGTTCCTGCTGGTGGACATTTAGATTGCCTTCAGTTTATATCAATGGGACAAACTCCTTCAAGTAGAATTATGCTGAGAAAAAAATGGCCAGTGCATTGAAAGTTTTATATTTTTTGATAAATTGTTCTCCAAGATATATAAACTGTTGCCAACGCCAGCACTGTATGAGGCGACAATTCCCCCACACCATCAACATGGCCAGATATTTCATGGTAATAAGTAAGTGTTGAGGAAACACAGAGAGGGCAAGATGGCAGCTGGGACACCAGTCAAGAGGTTGGGGCCACTATCCAGCCAAGAAATAATGGGTACCTCAAGTAGGCCGGGGGCGGGGGTGGCTGGGGGAAGGAGAGCTAGTGGGAAAGTAAAATCCCAGGTCATGGTGGTGAGTGAAGGTAATGGGAGGAAGGAATCAAGGATGGGTCTTGGGTTTCTGTCTTAAACAAATGGGGAGACTGTGGTTCTGTTTACGATGCTGAACACAAGAAAGGGAATAGCTGTTGTGAAGGAAACATGATGATTTTAGCTGAGAACATACTGAACTGAATATGCAGGACATCCTGTTAGTGGTATCTACTGGACATGGAAGGAAGATTCCGAGATGAAACCATGAGTGTGTATGAGATTTCCCAGTGATGCTTGGACAGCTGGATGGATGGTTGAGTGAGAGACTGGAGGGCTGGTTGGATGGGCAGACAGACAGAAATCTAGATTTTACTCTATTTAGATTGAACCATACGAACTTGCTGTTTTTGTTCAAAAATTATCAAGTATTTCATTTTATACAGGCTGCAGTATTTGAAGGGGAAATGTTCTGATGCCAGTAATTTAATTTGAAATGCATCAAAATTAATGGATGGGGTATATTTGTGATAAAGGAAGCACAGTAAAAAGGTTAACAGCAGAAGCTAGGCAGTGGGTAAGCAGGTATTCATTGTCAAATTCAACTTTGCTGTATGTTGGAAATTTCCATAATAAATTCATGGGGAATGTTTTCTAATGGTCAAATGTTGGCAAGTTCATGTGTTTTTTACCTACTATTTACTCCTCATTTGGCCAGGTTCCCATTTTGTAGCATCAGATCTGCAGAGTCTCCCTCGGCCTTTTTCTTCCCAGACTTGGGGGTGCTGTGGATCGGCGTTCCTCGCTCCCAGACAGGGTTCAGGTTGAATTGCCCTAAAGTGCTGATTACTGCGTGGAGTTTGCCGGTAGCTGGCTGTAATAATTATAGATTTTCTCTGCGATTTGATCCCATTGGTTGCCACGGTAACGGCGTAATAGCTCAACTGAAGAGCTGTCGCGGAGATTTAGAACCAACGTGTCTCTCTCGCAGCTTCGGATCTGGGCGCCGCCACCCCCATGGCGTCGTCATGGCAACTGATGAGCTGCACGTGACTGAAAGCTCTGCTCCCCGCCTCCCCCCACCCCCCACTCCCGCCCCATTCATCTTCCTCCTCTTGTGACCATTCCCATTTCCTCTTCTGGACGCCTTGTGGATAGGCATTGACCCCAGCTTGGGCTGTAATGGGGGCGAGCTTTAATGGGGGAGGCTAGAGTAATGATTCCCCTATGTCCCCCACCCGCCGAGAGGTCAGGCAGATTGTCCTTGTCAGAGCCAGAGCTACCTCTCTGGCCGCCGAGGTCTTGGAGATGAGTTGGCGCCCTGAGAGCCCCTTTACGACTCTGGCTGTCACAGGCTGGATCTGCTGCAACCACCAGTGCCACCACCTTCCTGGGGAAGCCATTTAGGGCTCTGAAGTCTTGGCTATCTGCTGTGTAGTTTTAGGAGTTCCTGAGGCTGTTAGAGGAAAACCTAGGCTTGGCCCCTGAAAGAAGAAAGGGGAAGCAGATAGCCAGTTTCAAAAGGTCCCAGATCATGTCTCCTCCAGCTTAAACCGAGCTGAGCTTAAGACATCTGTTTGAGAAATCCGTGTTCTATTTTTTTATTTATCTTTTTTTCTGTCTCTTTCTCTTTGTTTCTGTATGGATTTTTCCTTTCTGTTTCTGTCCCATCTCTCTCTCCCCCCCCCCACCCCCCGCCTTTTCTCCACCCCCTGCCCCGCCCCCATTTTTCAATAGTTCCTTCTCTTGCCCTCCTTCTTCACCTTCCCTCGATCCCTCTGCCTCTGGCCCTTGCTGAGAACCAGCTGGGCACATCCTTTTCCCACATCTTTTTTGCTTCCAAGGAGTCCTTTCCTCCCTCCTGTACCTGAGCCCATGTTCTGGGGACTGCTTGGAAGTCCGGAGCATCCTCCAGAGGGGAACTGGGACCTGGCAGCGCCTCTTAGGATGGACCAGCTAGTCGTGCCCCTAGGGCTCTGCAGAATGGCATAGAGGAGGCATATTAAGCAGGCGGAGCTGGGCTTGCTGCGGACCCTGACGACCTGGCTCTGTGAGTGCAGGGTGTGTGTGTGTGTGTGTGTGTGTGTGTTTTCATGTATTTGCGTATATCTGCAGGCATGTGGGGGTGTGTCTCAGTGTGTGCCAGCGACTATTATCTGTGATGTTGGGTGTGCAATGTGTGTGTGCAAGTGAGCCTGTGTGTGACTTTCAGTCTGAAGGACACACAATTGTACATGACAGATTTTTCAAGGATGCTTTGTGAAGAGAACACAGCGAGATGAGCCCCTTTAAAGTAGGAGCAAAATAAAGAAAGATGGGCATGAAATGATGGATAAGGAATTGCTTTTGTCAGACAGCTGCCTTCAGGCCCCAAGAAATGAAGTAAGGGTCACCTTGAAAAGGCATTTTTGCTCAAGCCCCAAAATAAACCCTTCCTTTCCATTCTAAGGAAGGTTAAGACACACACACCCCCCTTTCTCTTTGAAACTCAGGGGGGTGGAGGGCTCAATCAGGGGCACATGATGTGGGGGGCAGAGATCTGCAATGAGAATCTTTTGCTTGACAACCTGCATGGCTTATGCCAAGAGCAGGTATGAGGAAACTTAGGGTAGCGACTCCCTTGCATCTTTTACTTCTTCAGTCAATGAGAAATTCATGTTGAATTTTTTCACAGAAGCAGCCCATGTCCCAAGAGGCAGCAAGAAAAGGAGCAGGTTTAAAAAGCAAAATTCCATTTGCAGAGCAAGATGTGGAAATCCTGATGACTTGCTGTTTAAGATCCTGCAGTTGGTGTGTGAGAGCCAGCAAGCCAGGTCAACCCTGGAGGGACTCGCCTGTCCCTGAATATTTGGGAGATTTGGCAGCCAGTCAGTCTCGGTAAATGCTGACGGTGCTGGGCACACCCTTGGCACCTAGGGGGAGAGGACAGATCCAGAGATGAGGACCAGCCTTGGGTGGGTTCCAGTCCACGTAGGAACAGACCCTGATCACTTGGTGCAGTGCCCTCACTCTCAGTCATTGCTGCCACTTGCGATTCCTCCGGGATGCCACTTTCATTCCCACACACCATGACCGCTGTCTGCAGTGGCCCCACCACCTTGGTTCACGTGCCAAAGGCCTAATCACCTTTAAACGTCCTCTGTCACTGCTTCTACGAAATCCATAGCTTCCACCCAAGCAGACCAGACGCTGTTTGCCTTCCTCTTCCTGCCCCAACCAAATACCTTGTACCTCTGGCATCGTGTACCCTCCAGACCCCTTTCTCCATTGACCCATGAGCTGCGGTTTATTTTACAAGGACTTAAAGAAAATCATTGGTTAAGATGAAATACATGCAAAGCGACTGGCCTAGAATCCTAAAATGTCAATGCCATAAAGGCAAAGCAGTTGAGAAAGGTTCCAGGTTTAAAAGACACTACAGAGCCACACAGATGAATGCAATGTGATCCTGGGGTGGAGCCTGTATCCAGGGAACAAAAAACAGCCACAAAACACGTTTTGGTGGCAATTGGGGTAATTTCAACAAAGACCATATAGAAGATAATAGTATTATATCAATGATAACTTTCCTGAGCCTGAAACACCTTGTATTGCAGATAATTTGTACAGAGATTATGCAGAAGAATGTCCTCGTTCTTAGAAGATACAGGCTAAGGAGTTAGGGATGAAATTTTGCAATGTCTGCAACGAACTCTTAAATAGTTCAGAAGATAGATGGTAGCTAGATAGGTAGAGTACAAATGTGGCAGAGTATTGACCGTTGGTAGTTCTGGAATTACGGGTGGTCATTGAGCTATGCTTGCAACTTTTCTGTAGGTTTAAAATTTTCTGCTATGTGCTGGGCATCTGCCTAGTTTTGTACATGGATTGCCTCTTCTAATCCTCAGAGCAGCCTGGGAATGAGGGAGTTCTAGTTTCTAGCTGACAAAACAGAGACAAAGCCAGATTCAAGCCCAAGACAAAACCCACATTAATTCCACTGCCCCACTGCCCACCATTATTACCAAGGAAATTACCAAGGATAGCTCAATAGTCTTGTGCCTCTAGAAGAAACATTTATGATTTGAGTCTGAGGGACTTCAACTCTTTACTGTGGTATAGAGGTTAAGAGCACTGAATCTAGAGCCAGCCTGGGTCTGTATCCTGGCTCAGCTACTTTATGGCCATGTGTTGTTGGGCAAGTCACATAACCTCTCTGTGCTTCCATTTACCTTTTGTTTCTGTAAAGGAGGGTGATAATTGTAACTACTTCAGAGGCTTGTTCTGGAAATTAAGGCACTATTAATGTAAAAAGCTTAAAACAGGGTTTGTGTGATCCAAAAGTGGATCAACCAAAAGTGATCAGTAAATGTTTGTCATCACTGTTGTTGTTATTCTTGTTTTTGTAACCCCCGCACCCCCTCCACTGATAAACTTGGAGGATCTTTCCCTTCTGCACCAGAGTTGGCTTGCTTTCTAGACCTGGCCCCTGGGCTAGTCCACGCCTCTGGCAGGCGGCCTCTCAATGGCTGCAGGAGAGGCAGGGACCAGGGCGGGGGAGGTCAGAGTTATCCTCGTGCCACCTCTCCCCTGTGCCGACCCCCTCAGGACTGCCCTCCATAACCCCGCTGTGAACCAGTCACTCAGCGCGCTGTAAAGACCGCCTAGGAAACACACGCTTGTTAGTGGGAGCCCACAAACACAGGAGCTCACCAGAACCTTTGAGATCCACTTCACAGGGCTGGAACCAACCTTTTATATTTTGTTTTGTGCTGCTATTGCCGCTTATACGTGACATACATTGTAAGTCCTCTGAGTGATCAAGAAAGAACCCAGACAGGGAGTGTTTATACATTCATTCATGGCTCTTTGGCTCTGCCAGCCAGATGTTCACACACCTGAAAAGCCACCCTGAGAGCTGTCTGCGGAACAGGGGTTGTCTCAGTGCTAAGCAGTTGGGCTGGATCCTCAGTCCTCATGGTCCCCCTCCTGTCCCCTTCCAAGGGGCTAGTAAGGAAAGGACTGCTGACATAGTGACCACAGAACCTAGGCTGCCTCAGTGGGACCCAGTGGTCAGAGCATTCAGGTCCCAGAGGGCCACACAGTTGTTAGGTACTCTGCATGTCACATGGTGCTAGATGCTGAGAGTACAAAACCACATTGGTTACTGTCAAGTTATGCTGATGACCCTCCTCGCAATATGAAAAGATGTTCTTTATTATTTGTTGTCTGTCTCTTCCACTGGGACAGAATGCAGGAACTCTGCTGTCTGGTTCTACCACCCGCACCTGGGTCCTTAGGATTCGGTATTGTGTCTTCAGGCCGCAGGCCATCAGGAAATAGCAGTGCCCAAGTACAAATCCATGAATGATTAGAGGGATGGATGAATGCATGGATGAATAAATGAGTGAATTTCACAGGCTACAGGGGGAGACAGAGACGTGAACAGATTGTCATATTACAGATGAACTAGAAAAGAATATGTATATATATTTATGGATAATCTAAACGTGACAAATGTTGACAGTTGAAACTAGATGGTAAGTATAGTCAGGTTCTCCAATGTGTTTAAAGGTGTTCATTAAAGAGAATAGAGCGCTGGAGAAATACAGATGAGTGGTATCTAACCCTGAACTGAGAGTCAGAGTGGCTTCCTGGAGGAGGTGGCTGGAAAGGCATATGAAAAGGTGCACAACAGTTAAGGGAATGTGAACAGGAGGTGGGTGCAGAAAAGGACATTCCAACAGATGTTACCACATGAGCGACGAACTGGAGGAAGCAAAGAGCAGAGTGCATGCAGGTCAGTGTCAAGAGGTCAGGGAAGGGCAGGAGATACATGTAGGGGGATGGAGGGGTGGCCTGTGTGCCCAGCCAAGCAGCTGGGATTTATCCCACAGACAGTGGGGAGCTAGGGAATGTTCAAGCAAGAGAGTGATTGGTTCAGCTTTGTTACATGAAAAAACAACATCGTTTACATTTAACGCCCTCCGCTATCCCTAGCAGCTCTTATTGTTTTGCCTTTTAACATAAGAAAAAAATTTCTAATTTTAGAAATTTGATATTTCTAAAATATCAGTTTAGATATTTGCTTTTTTTACTTAGCAAGTTTGTTTTCCCCTGAAAGGATCAAAAAGTCGTGAAGTGGAGTCCTTTTCTCAAAGGGCAGCAATGTGGAGAACGCCTGCTGATGAGAGTCGAGGCACCAGGGAGGATTGGATGCCAACCAGGATAAATTTCATCACAATTTTATTTACTCCGGATATTTGTCTCTGGGAGGACAAAACATTAAGAAAGCAATTGATTGACATGCAGTAATTACGAGCATTCTGTGATCGACTCTCCTCCCCAGGTTCATGTCCCAGCTTTTTCCTTGGTACCATATTTTGTCCTCTGGGCCCACTCCTTCTGCTATAAACAGGCTAAACAAGGCATCGTCAGCTGCACCATTAATGGCTCCAGCCATCTGCCCTTTGCTGTCCTGTGGGAAGACACTGCCAAGCCCTCTCTAGTGGACAGGTTACATTTTATGTTTTGAGAAAAACAAGACGCCAGATGGGGGGAGATAGGGTTGGGCATGAGGACCTTTGAAATTGACATACAAGTGCCATCCATCCACAAAGCCAGACTGTTTGGCCAGGGTCATGTGATTGACAGCTATAATGGCCACATCCAAAGCAAGGGTGAGAATGGCTGAAACAGTGTTTTTTGGAAGCAATGGATCAGGGTGCTTTTTCATTGCCATATCTTTGGATCTCCGCTTTGCTGGCTGTCCTGCACCAAAATGTTTAAAGAGTTGACTAGCAGAATTAGGGCACAAGAACAGGGAGGCCAACTCTTTTTCACGGATTAATGTTTAAAACACCCAGCAAGCATTCTGCATTACTGGGAACTGTCCTAAGTACCATGGAGCTATAAAAATGCCAATTCTTCCACCCATTGGGTGGGACGGGGCTCCTTGTGGGCTTAGGGCATCTGTACCTGAAAGGGACAGCGGGGACAGCATTTGGGGGCCAAGTGTGGGCTGAGGTTGGAATTGCTCAGCTGGGGCAATCATAGGCCATTAAGAATGAG